CCGCTGCGTCAGGCCTGGGGCCGGCCCAGTCCGGCGAGCTTTGCCGCTTTTAGGGCGCGTTACGCGCGGTACCGTGAATTAACGAGGATTTCCCGCTCTCCCCCAGGCGCTGAGGCAGAGAAAGCAGATGTGCAGCGGGCGCGCTCGGTGACTTTGTCCTCCGGCGGACGTTTAGCGGCATATGCCGCGTAGCGGAATGTCCTCGAAGAAGCAAACGAAGAGGCGTCCCTCGGGAAATAAATTAAAGGTCAGTTTCGCTGGTTTGAGCAGAATTAAACCAGCCAGGGTTTGTTTTGCCATGCTTTCGGTGTTGGCGCAGGTGCCAAGGCGGGGCGTTGCTGGGAGCGGTGCTGTGCAGTCCCTGCAGGTGCGGATTTGGGGTGGGTGGGGGTGTGGTTTTTTGTCTTCTAGGAGTAGTACGTCATTAGGTAAAACGGGCTATTGACGTTCAACCAGGCAAAAATTTGAAAAACGGCCTTATAAAACTAAAGAGGACGGCTTAAAGAGGAAATAGTTGATCTGCCTACGTTCAGTACCGTAGCAGAAATTGTGAGGCGCTGTGGAGCGCTAGTAAAACTAAAAGCTTGGGAAGTTGGGGTTTTCTTCTTGTAGCTCCCTTTCCCTGCGTGCATGCAAACGAGTGAGGAAATTTGCTCCCATACTTGGGGTGCGAATGACACGTTTATGAGTGTTGCATGGCTAGTGCTGTGGCCACTGCCGTTCTCCCCTACCCTTCTGCTTCACAAAAGTGTTTATGTAATACTTGACTTATAGATTCCACCTTTTATAAGAAGTTACCTGTAGCTTTTTATTTTTTTTAAAGTGCAAATCATTAAATTGGACAAGGATGGACGTTCATGCAATACAGAGATGAAGGGAGAAATATTTTAATGCCTGAAAAGAAAAAGGCTGCAGATGGTAGAAAACAGATGTTAGGCTGTTACAAGATTTCTAAGCTTATACTGTTAGTTTTATGAAATAAGACAAAGCTGATGCGACAGTATAGTATCGAATAGCAGAATATACTGGTTTTATACCATCGTTCTCTTAGAACAAAAGAAAAAAAAGATAGCCTGAGGAAAACACACATGCTTCAAATACTTTATATCATAGCTCAGTAGTCCATATGGTCCAGGTCAATGAATAGCAGAATATACTGGTTTTATACCATCGTTTCTCGTAGAACAAAAGAAAAAAAAAGATAGCCTGAGGAAAACCCACATGCTTCAAATACTTTATATCGTAGCTCAGTAGTCCATATGGTCCAGGTCAAATGTATTTCTAATCAAACGTTCTTGAAATTCATTGCCATATTTAACCTGTTTTACGCTGAAAAAGCTGGATGAGCTAGCTATTAATTTCATACCCATCCAGGAACACAAAGCCAACTCCCGTCCTCATTGGAAATTGCTTCCACCTGAGGAACCAGACGTCTCAAGGATATTGAAGGTAGCAGAAGCAAATCAACTTGAGGAGCTTGACGATTCATTCGGTTAGTACTAAATTCGGTGTCATTTAACATATGATTTTCATGAACAAACCATACGGGCAAAATGTTTGAGGGCTTACTTAGGAGAAGGTACTGGGGTTTTGCTAGAGAAAATTACAGGCAGGAGAGACAGAGGGGTTTTGTGAGAGCGGTGTTATTTTCTGTTTAGGAAGTAGCAAGAATAATGCAATATGTGCAAGTAGAAGTTGATAGAAAAATACTGGCTATTCCAAGTTTTATAGTCTGAATGGTAGAATCGCACACAATATAACATTGCACTTGTGTAAGAGTTTACGTTTCAAAAGGAAAGTTCAAGATCTTAAGTTACTCTCTATTAAATTACAGAAACTCTGAAGTGGATTTTTTTGCTATTGTGAGAGTGTGCGTGGCAGCAAGCTTAGGTGTTCACAGGGATGTCGTTCTACTTTAAAAGTAACATCATAAAGACATACTATTTTTGGTGAAGCATTAAAACCGCTTCCATGCTCCATGTGGGACTTGTGCAACGAGGCCTCAGTATACTGGAAGAGAATCAATTTAGGTGGGAATGCGTGCTCCTGTGTGAAGTTCTCTGTTATTAAATATATGTAGCTCTTACGTGTCGATGTCGGTAAGAAAAATCTTCGAAAAACTGTAATTAGAAGTTGTAGAGAGAATGCCAAGAGCTGTTTCTCAGCTGTAGTATTTGTTACTCTAAGAAAATTGCGGAAATATACGTGTAACTACTAGAAACAGCATTGATGATGAACTATAAAGAACAGTATAGCAAAAGGGTTGTCATAAGGGAAAGTCTGCAAAATTAAAAGCACTTCTTTTCCTCACTTCTGTGGTATGTGTTAAAAATGATAAAAAGGATGCCCTCTAACACTAATGTGAGCTAACATTAATTTTTGTGGCAATGTGCATGCAAAAAGAAGGCAGGAATGAATACTGGAACATATACGAAATATATATACGCACTATGGAGGGCAGGCTAAAACTTTAAGGTTCTCAGAGTTTTAATCTCTTCTGGTAGCTACCTTCAAGAATTCTATGTTTACAGAGTTTCTGTAGCAGCTGTAACTGTCGTCTTATAGCGTCCAATAAAGCAGCTAAAAAAATCTATGTTAAAAAAAAAAAGGTAGAATTTAGAAGGTAGTTGTTTAAATGTATAGAAGATTGATGTATGCTGTAGTAAAGAGAAATTTTAAATAAACTGTAAAAAATGTTTTGCTTGCTGTATGCCATACATAGATACTGAGCTTTTACGCACCTTTGGCTTCAGTTTGTAAAGGAATAGCTGGTGGATGAGTATAGAAACTGCGAAGGTTTTCACTATGTATATTTTTCCTAATCCTCAAACAAAACTTTTAACGAGACCTCCTTTGTATGAGTGAGCAAATGACAAAAATGCTCACTAACTGCTGAACGGCAGGCAGCGCTAGTACATCCATGCTCTTTGCCTGGAGAGATGGGAACAACTTTCGTACGGCTTATTTTCTGTTCTTTATAGATCACCCTTTGCACAGTACTGCTGTGGATGCTTACGGAGAGGAACATTCACCAAATGAGTCGCTTGATCACGTTTCATCTCCACAAAGGAAAAGTACAGAAAAAAGGTCTGGTGAAAAATACAATTGCCAGCATTTAATTTAATCCTTAGATTTTTAGATTAAATGGGAAAAATGTGTTCTGTGTGTCAGGTTTCCCTAGTTGCTTATTAAACAGATGCTTTTACTTAAAATTTCCCAGATGAGAAACCAAAAGAGTAAGTAAGATTGGGGAATGCAGAAAAGAAATGGGAGGAAAAATTAGGGTTTGCCTTTTGCAAGCAGCACATTGATTAAAGTACTCACTGAATTTTTATTTTTTTTTCAAATTAAAAGATTTTAAAATATCTCTGAGGCATTAATTAGTCCTCTAAATGCTGGTGTCTTTAAAGTTAAAAAGTCAAAACACAGGTAAAAGCCAGTTAAACTATATGTAACAAAGAAAATGAATTTTAAAAAAATCTTTTAACACCATTTTAGTATGTTTCTCATTTGTTAAATCAAATTTGATTTAAATCTGAAGTAGTTCCCGTTTGAATGAACTAGCAAGACAGTAACAGAGCTTGTATGAGAGCTCCCCGCCACCAGTAAAGACTTCTCCTTTCTTGCTAAAATATCATCAATGATAATTTTGTTTCTGTTTCAAAGTTTCTCTTCAGAACAATGTGGCTATCCCAGTGGTCAGTCAGTAATGGATTTCTAATTGTCACAAGGGTTGCTGTGGCGGGATAAAGATTCTGTTCCCTTTATATGCCATTTGCAGCTTTTTATGTAGTTGATTTAGGAGACCCAAACTAAATGACACAGCAATACAAAATGTTCCCCAAACCCTAAGATTTTGTTGTTTTTATGGTTGAAGGTCATTCTTTCTCAGTGCATAGTGGGTTTTCATGTGGATATTTTTCTCTTCCTAGTAAAAAAACACATCGTTGGAAGACGTCTGATGGTGATGTTCAGAAATTCAGCACAGCTGGTGCTGAAGATGAACCCTTTAAGGTGAACACGGTACAGAGAAAGTTACATGAGTTTATCAGTCAATTTAATTTTATCTTACTTCATGGCATGCCTGCATTAGAGAGGAGGGGAGAGCAAGACCTTTTGTTTGTTTCTTAGTACTTAATTGTGTCCCAAATAATTAATCCTCAAAGTATTCCTGAGAGATGGCCAAGTGAAACGCTTAGAGCTACAGTCATCGTGTCAATGGGGAATAGAATAGCCAGGTGTTCCTGTGTCCTGTAGCCCGTTCTCTTGGTCATTTGGGAATAAGTTCTGTTCTTCTTTCAAATATCTTCTTTAGATCTGCAATATGTGTTCTTAAAGAATGGCATACTAAATGGAATATAAATCCCTCATACTTGTTCAGTATTGAAGTAAGAACAAATTTATGAGAGAATTTAATTTTTCAGTGATAAAATTTATTTTGAATATATATTAAAATTAGACAAAACCCACTTGGTTTTGAATGAGTGTTTTTCCACACTTAGGCTGCAATTAGTGTAAAATCCTTTTGGCCCACTTAGCTTCCAGGCATACAGAGGAAGAATTAACTATCTGCAGACTTGAGAAAGTAGGCCTGTGATAAAAGAAGCTATACAGGAGTTTGCATTAAAGGTTCCTACATATTGAAATTCATTGGAATTGTTGAAAATCCTTTTGTAAAATTCAGGACAGAGTGGTAGTCTTTCATCAGGAATCGGCATGTAT